TAAGATATCTTCTTAAAGATATCTTAAGTCATATCTTCTTTTTTGGTCATTTGGTGATTTGAATGCTTCTGATCAAAATTGTTCAGCCACTTGTCACTACTATTCTTTGTTAATCATTAATTAAATGTCTTTTAAGTTAAAATAATTCATAGTTATAAAATTTTATAACCTTGTTCTGATTATTTTTCTTTGAAAATTAAGGTTATAGGGCCTATGAGGTCTGCTCTATATTGCGGTAAAGGTTTTTCAAAGCCAGTTCACCTACCCTTAACACACCTTTCAGCAGAAGGGGATATTTTTTAATCATCTTGAAGTATTCAGGTACAAAAATGACTGGCAAAATCAATTTCAATGTTTCTTTTGTTGACTCTTTCTGTTTTAGTCAAAGAAAACATTCTGTCTCAAAGCAAGCATTTCAAATGAATATTTTCAGTCTTCTCTTGACCCAACCCATCTCCCACTTTGTCTACAAGTACAGCAACTAAAATAAGTTATTGGAGGTTGGGAAAAATCCCACTGTTTTTGCATTAGTCTCTTTGATAACTTGGGCTTTTGTAGGTAAAATAACTTTCCATCAGAGTAAGTACAGGATGGATTTTTCATTACCATGACCATTGCTTGGTCCTTGGCATCTAAGGACCCTATTTTAAACAATTGTATTTCCTCAGCCCCACTGCTTTTAAACTGCTCACTCAAAGTGAACGTGTTAGCTTATTTGGCTGGTGCAATTCATGAGTCATTTTGGACTCATGGCAGTGGGTTTCATGCAAGTCAAATTCCTGAAAACACAAAAATATTTTCCTGATGCTGTGATACGCCTTTACTTGAACCCATATGCAATACAGTTGAGACTGGTGTAACTAGTAGGTACCAGGCAATGAGTAATGTTGTTTTGATCAGTTTAATTACTTATGACTCAGTCCAATCAGACCAATAGTGTTCCCAAACAGAGTCATGCTCACTTGTTTTATGGAAGCTACAAGTAACTGTGTTAAGTCTCCATTCTTACAGTGCACATGCCGCTTTATTTGGTTTCTCAAACAGTGCTTGTGACCCAATCTCTGCATTTCAAAGAATGCACTAAACTAGCAAGCTTAATGAATCAATTTAGTTGGAAGGAAAGCCACGTTCTCCTGGGAACGTCTTGTTCTTGGCTTTCCCAAATACGTTCCTTCTTTTTATTTCGTTTTATGAGAGCTTAAAGAGGGGCTGTCATGTTCTTTCTCCAGTTACTCTGCATCCATGCAACAAAGAGCCGTACCATCTATACTAGATGACAACTCAACTCTTGCTTATTCCTTTAGCAAATGAAAGCAGAATTGACTTAGTCTTATATTTAAAGAGTAGCAGGAAAAGTTATCTACTTTCTTCTTCACCTCAGGTGTCTGCTATAGCAATAAGTGTCTCAAAGCAGCAGGTCTGGAAAAGCTTAAAAGGTGCATGACATGAATTCTTTTCTTTTTGCAAGTTTGAGAAGAACTGGGGGATGGCACAGGACCTTAAGTACACGGCAGACAGAAATATTTAGTTTGCAGAATCATGAACATGCACTACTAGGTAGAACACTTTTCTGTATTGAGACAATAAGAATCTTGCCAGATTGTTTGTGGGTTTGCTTTTTGTATTGATATCGGCTCACCTATTTACTTTTTATTTGTTCTAGAAACATTGGAAATATTTGAATATTTATGCTGATCACTATGAGAAAAAAAATTTGCTTGTACAGAATAAGTGGAATGCATGCAATTATCTCAATGTCAGCAGAAGGCAGTAGATGATTTTCTCTAGGAGAAAGAAGAGGTTTTTTTACTTGGATCTATCTGTAAAAGCAAACTTTCTGATATAAACAAGTCTGTCACAGGTTTATCACTTTTCTTTCAGCTGCTAAAAAAAAAATTGAAAAAGAAAAGAGATGCAAGAAGAGTGGTTCAATCTTTTCATAGTGAAAAAATCAATCAAATGTAGAAAATTCAACATCTTTAATACTGCATCACAAACATAGAGTGACAGTTCATTGTCTTGGCATGATAAACTCTGATGTCAGTCAAACCTGTATTTGCAAAATAATAAGCATAAGATTGCTGCTGTTGCATTGCTATTTTTATCAATTTTTATCAATTTCCTCACATAAAAGATAGTGTGTTAACTTCCTCAATGCAGAACATAATTGTTTGGATATTATCTAGCATTTTACAATTAATTTTACTCTTACCTCCTGTCTACCTTTGTCAGCTTTGCCTAATATTTCCTTAGAGTTGGTGCTTTTCCACATATAAATCTCCTGCAATCTGCAGGGTCCAAACTTCTGTCTTTTTTGCATAAACAAAGTGATGTTAACAAGTCAGTGGACAAAGACCAGTGCTTTCAATGATTCTATAACTAGCATGAAGTTGTTGAGTTTTGATGTCTTAGTATCTCCTTTCCCAGGCAGATATTTACATGCCAGGGTAATCCAACATAGCAAAATATGAGTAATGCAGAGATTCAGAATAGATATCATCAAGGCTATAAATGTACAGACAATTCAAAACATTAAACATCATGAGGGAGTTATTCTTTGTGGAAGAGTACAGATTTCTAAAATGTAACAGCAAATCCCTTAGTTAGTTCAGGAATTAATACTATTTGACTAATTAATAATAATTCTTGGAACACGGTGTAAAATTCCATTGAACTGTACTGTGAGAAAATAAATGGTGTCATTTGAAACTTAAACTGCATGGAGATCAGCCCCTTTAAGCACAACTTCAAATCAGTCTAAATATGTCTCCAGTGAAGGGTAAAAAGCTTGACAGGGTAAGCACAACTGATCTACTGCTTCTGTAATGGATTGCAGGGTAAGTGGTTGTTTGATGGTTAGTTTTGGATGTTTTCATTTATGTTTAATTTTCCCACAGTGGTGTCTTTCACCAGACATTTCATTAGCTACTTAGATTGTAGCAAATAACTTCACTAAAGGGAGCCTCAGTTGCCTGCTCAGCTTTTTTGCAGAAAGACAATAAGTGCTTATATATACCCTGGTTGCTTAATACTGTACCTGCACAAGATTTTTTTTTTGCTACTTGTTTTTTGAGTGGAACAAGTTCATGGTAATGTTCTGAATGCAAGTACAGAACAGCAGAAATCTTTATGAACAATGTGCAAGTGTGGATTCACCCTGGGATTAGGATGTAGCTTTATTTTTTGTACCTGTACATAAAAGGCACAAGGAACTAAGGCTCTTGGAGTAATTGCATGGGTTATACAGTTGTGGATAAAAGCAAATCAACTTTTCAAAATCATATGGTGGCTGTTAGCTGGAACATATGACTTTCTATGCAGGGTGCTTCTGACAGCAGAGATAATTCTGTAGACATGGAAATAACAGGATATTTATCTCAGTTTTCTGCAGCTACTGTTCTTACATTTCAATTTTTCACAGTTGTTTACAACTGTCAAGGCCTTAACTGGAAGAAGGTTCTTCCAGAAGAGACTCCTTAAGAATCTGAAATATTTGATTCAATTTCGGGTGATTTCCCTTAGTCCAGGAGAAAAACGAATGCAAAAAATCAAATGTCATGAAAAAGCATATTCCTTTTTAATCTGAGAAAGTTGTGTGAAAGATTAAACTTTGTCTTATAAAAATAGCCTGGAAAAAGAGCTGTATGTATCAAAAGTAGCAGATTACTATCTGAAAAAGCATCACATCACAGTTTATAAAGTTTGTATAGAGTATTTCAAGTACTCTAAGACAGCAGTGAAATTTAAAATATAATTTGTATTAGATTATTTTTTTTGTAACAGCATCCATTAAGTCAAATGATAACTATAATAAGAAAGTGATATTCCTTTTTGAAAGTACTTCGAAAATGTGGACTGAACAAATTGCATTCTAGACTAATTTAAAACCCTCTCCACAGTATTCTCCTGGGAAGAAATTGGTCTTGTATTACAAGAAATCTAAGTTGGCACCCTGCAATCCATTACGGAAGCAGTAGATCAGTTGTGCTTACCCTGGAAAAAGTGTTGGTGGCAGAATTTGTCCCTCAGGTGCAGTGGTGTGACTGGTAAGGCATCAGGCAACTGCAAATGTAGGCAATTGCTGCACAGAGAGGTGGAGGACAGGGGACAGGTAGATTCCTCCAGCTACCCTGGCTGTCCCTAATCAGAACCACCCTGCGTTTCCCCTCAGCTCTACTTGTATGAAGTCCCTGTGAATACACCCCTTGAATGAAGTGTTGTGTGAAATTACTTCCTAAAAAGCATGGGCTTAGCAGGAGAACATTTGTATATCTAACCTTCACACTGATAGATTTTAAGCAATATCTCCACATTTTTTTGACCAGACCGACAACTCTTCCAAAGGATTCATAACAGCACCTTTATGTTGTCTTACTCATTTTTCAGCAAAACTGTGTCACAGATTTGATCTTAGTTGTCTTGCTCTTTGATCCTTGACCAGTTTACATCTGGAAACTGTTTTAAAATGAGAATTAAATCAAAAATATATGTCTGATTTGTATAAAAGGACTTCTCTATCTGGGTCTAAAATTTCAGCACCAACGAATATCACAGAATGGTTTGGGTTGGAAGGGACCTTAAAGATCATCCAGTTCCAACAGCCTTGCCACGGACAGGAATACCTATAGCTTATCTGGTATATTGCTGTCATTAATTAGTTTCTAGGGTAAAGAGAAACAACCCTTTAAAATAGTGACCTTAGGTCATTTGTCTTGTATGACTAACATTTTGGTCTTACTGGAGGAGGCATGGGGAGGAATTACCTGTTTGCTGTATATGAAAGGAAATTTTAATAAGTTAACAATATAACAGTTTTTTGCCAAGTCTAGCAAGTATTTCATGTACTATTTGTAATTGCATGTCCAACAAACTAATATGTATTTGTTGCTTGATACTCACATTCAAATGTAAATGAGTATTTATAAAAGCATACTATCAAATACCTTTAAACAGATCATAAAGTAAGTTGTTTGTTTGTTTGTTTGTTTTTTCTCATTTAGTCATCTGTGACTCTTTGGAAGATCATGTTTCTGGAACTGGGGTCAGGTGCCCCCTGGGCTACTTTCCGTGTGGCAACATCACAAAGTGTTTGCCCCAGCAACTTCACTGTAACGGCGAGGATGACTGTGGGAATCGGGCCGACGAAGACAACTGCGGTATGTGGTTGAGACTTTTCTTTGTGTCTGGCACCTGTAGTCACTGAAACCCATACAGGGCTCACATAAAACAGAAGACTGTAGAGTGTTAGGAATAGAAAAGTTACGCGCTTTGCAGAGGATGCAGCAGGTCGACTTTAGCTGATAAAGCCACCCAACAAGCCATTTGTTAGGTGAGAAAAATTGACTATATTTTTCTTCATATACGGTATCAGTTTATCCAATTTTATCCCTGCTTTGGACTTGTTTGCACATGTCATTTTGATGTGTACAATGGGATGTATGTGATCTATCAAAGATCACTTCTGAGGAGAAGTAAATGTGTTCTCCAACACAGTTTATGTAAAGTTTAATATGACTTACTGTGGAAAACAAAATTTAGAAGAATTGTCAAGGGTTTTCAGAAATCATTTATGTACTTATTTGAGAGAAACACATTTGTGTGAGTGTGCTATGCAAGCTGCACTACCAGCAGGCTTTGGGTTTTGAAAATGTAAAAATTTCAGGAAAAACAAATAGTCAGGTCACTTCTGCATGTTGTTACGATCCTTATTACTTCTGGCCCCTCTGGATGGTAGCTGTGAGTTTGACTTGGCTTGTAGGCTTTACCTCTACTGCAAACTGGATAGGACCAGGGTATAGGCTTTGCATGGGCACTTACCCGTCCACGCTGCTTTTTGGTGAGCATGACCCTGGCACAGCTTTAGTTTGTGCCGAGCCACATCTCTTCCGCAGTGTTTGGACACAGCTCAGACCTGGGATAGTCTGGAAAGGGGCCCCTATATCTTGTGAGAAGACAACTTAGCCATTTGGTTGTGACCTAAGACCGCGGGAAGAGAAAATCAGCCTTGGCACATTTTATTTATTGCTATTGTCATCTTACAAACAGCCTGCTGTATTTTCAGAGGTACTCTCCAGAGCTGCTGATCCATGGCAGATGGGGAAACTAGGCTTCATATTCCTTAGTAGTTTGCCTGTAGCCATGGAGGACAACCAGATGCATGATACCCTACCTCACACACTGCCTCCAGCTCTCTAGAGTCAAGCAGGTGAACTGTTTGCCTGTCCTAACCAGGCATGTTGTCATCAGATCTGGGTGGGAGGAGTGGGAAGAATTAAAATATTAAGTGAAAATTCCAAGGTGTTTATACTGAAAGACATGTTCTGAAGGAAATTTCAAACAAAATATGGTAAAATCTCACCAGCACTCTCAGCAAAGTCAACGAGGTTTTGAAAGTAGTTGTTCTCACTGTATGTGAATTTGATTTTTGTACCTATGTGAAGTATCTTATTCTTACACCTGTCAAATTTCAGTGTCCAACTACTCGTGAAAGTTACTTTTGATTCTAATCCCACCTAATGGACCTACAGCATTTTGTAGTTTTATGTCATTTACCAATGCTATAAACTTACTTTCTGTTGTAATTAATCAAATTTCTGAACAAAAATTGCTCGTTCTGTTCTTTTCCTGTAATCATCTTGGCCTACAGTGGCAGAAATTGCTGATGGTGTTGCCCTCTTATGTTTAAGACGTCCGAGGTCCATAAACAGTTCTTTATCCATGTTTAATTTCTGTATGATACCACAAAGTCTATTGCACAAGGACTTGCTGAAAGCATCCAGCTTGATATAATGCCAACTAGGATATACACAGTTTTGTAATGGAAGTACAAGACAGTATAGAATCACAGAATCATTTAGACTGGAAAAGAACTTTAAGATCATTGAGTCCATTAATCAAAGAGAGCTCTTTTCTTCTCATCTGTATCATTACTGATACAGAACTGAGGTATTCTTGGATTACCGATAATAAATTTCAAAAATTCAATTAGAAGTAACATGGATTGGCAATGAGCAGGGACAGTGCTGCAAGAAGTGATTTATTACTGAACCCTGAAAAACCAAACAAACTTCATCAAGTCCTTTGCAATGCCTTAATGTTCTTCTACAGGAAGGAACATACAAGACAATTCAGCTGCAATATTGAATCCTCTTCTGTGTCTAGTAACTCAAGAATGAGTTAGCCTTTATTTCTGAAAACCTAAATTACAAAAGACGAAGAGTCATTGTATTGACTTACTGGGAAAACTATACTTTCTATGTTTTTCTCATACCTTGACTCCCTATTCTTATTGAGAAATGCATGCTGTGTATAACAGATTATTGCAATATTCAGTACTAATATTTTCTCAAAAATTGGTATTGTAGTCAAATTTGTTGTTCACTTAAAGAAAGAGTCACTTCCTTTCCTGAGAATATGGAATGTCCTGATGAGATTTTCTGCAGTGCCTCTACACTGTAGTAAGTTTGGGGATCTTTATGGGATAACTCTGTTTTGTGACTATTCATCTGGCTTAAAATACAAGAAAGGAAACCTCAGTGATTAGCTCCTGGGACAAAGAAACAATCTGTGTTCTTTTTTTTCCCATCAGTTTCCCAGGACCACTTCAGCATGCCTGTCTTGTACCAGCAGTTATATCTGGCTCCTTCTATCCATTTTTTAAATTTACAACTAGTTTTCAGTTGAAGTTATTGCTCCTGGTTACAGAAAAGAAATTAAAAATTAAATTATTCCAGTATAGTAATTGTTTCATGCAGTACCATTGGAAATTTTAATCTCATCCACAAGGTATTCTAATTATGTAGTTCAGCTTTTAAATTCCTGAACACTTTGTCACCAATTTGAATGAGAACTTTGAGTTGGCAAATCTACAAGGTTCAACTCAACAAGTGTTGGGAGGGAAAAATCAGTGTAGACCCTCAAAGGAATTCAGAAACACCTTTTTCTTCTTTTTTTAAATGCATGTATCTCAAACAAAGCTATATAAACCAACTGCTCTACTAACAATTTATTTGGTAATGATAAAGCACAATATAAAGGCTACAGTAAACCCAGTATTATGACATAAGGAAAAATAAAGCAAAAATATGTCACAGACTGTAGTTGTTCCTGTGATGGAAAGAACAATATGATGAAGAAGAAAAGGAAAAAAAGATACTTCTTTTGAAAATATAATACTGCTGTTTGAAAACACAACAAAACAATAAAACAACAGGTACTCTAAACACAAGAAAATCCAATATTGAACTGTTCAATACAAGCCTCTAATTGTGCTGAATATTAGCAGCAACTGCAATTATTGTAATAACTGTTATAAGAAACATCAGTGAATGAAATAAGAATCAACTAGCATAAAAAGCACATGTAGATTTTCCAGGAGAGTTACTATAAAACTGTTTGAAGGCCCTTGATACAAAAAGGCAGCAGTGCAAAAGAGACCAACATGATAGGAGCCTCTGAAAATAATGAAACCCATCACTCCCAACTATCTTGTAGCAATTCCATCCCTTTCTTCTCTTATTTAGGAAATTTGTCTCATTCCCCTCTTTATTTCGATAGAAACATTTATTTTTGTAGTCTTTGAGATAATTTGCAGTATTAATCCTGTTTCAGGCACTGTGTGTGCTTGGTAACAGCAAAACATGATTATAAATATTTCAAACTAAACAAAATCCTCACTGAGAGATGTGTGCTCAGATGTGCTGTAATCACTGTTTGTATCCAGCCCAGGCACACAAAAATTGGCTTTGTGGTGTTGTCTTCAATTCTGCTTCCTCTTTCCACCATCCTCTCCACAGCCAAATAAAAAACATAAAAGGAAGGTCCAGAGAAGTGAAATGACCTCAAACTAGGATCGTAGGTAGAGCTGGGAACAGACTCTAAATCTCAGACTGCTGTGTTAGAGCTTAACCTCAGGATGGGAACATCCTGCTTGCCAACTCAACTTCAGCATTTCTGCCACTTCTCTAGATGGGTGAATTATAGCTGATATTTCACAGGAGAGTGAAAACTCATATGCCTTTGCCACCTAGTTTGGTTCCCAAAACCAATAAAACACTGTGTGTGATATCCTAACAGGGAAGAGCTAGAGGCAATGTAGTAAACTGCAATGAGAGGCGGAAGCTAGCAATTTATCATGTCTGCAGTGATGCTTCATCTATCACTAGATAACCTTAAATGTGCATGGAAAATACAATCTTATCTTCTTAACTTGAAAACATAGTCCCTCGAGAAGAAGTGAGTGTCTCTGCAAATCTGTCATGATAATAATATTTTTAAATAAAAATAATCTATTTAATGTTTTGTAAATTGTCATAAAGCTTAAGGTTTTGAGGCATTTCCTTTTTCAGACTTGAGCATGGCAGTAAATTTTTCTCTGATGTTCTCCTTCATGGTCACCCTTGTAGAAGCGCCAAGTTCTTAATTAGGCTGAGGGCACTGTGAAGCAGTTTAGCCTGTATCACTCTTCACCTGGTGTTTTTGTTTCTGTTAAAAAAATTCAAAATGTGCAAAAGATGTAGCAATTCCAGCATCCTTCTGTGCCCAAGCTTGTTTAAGGATCAAGTTGGCAAAGCAGAGCAAATTTGATACTGTTTTGTCCTACTGAGACTCATTTGATTTCAAACATAATGGCTCCTGGGTAATTTTCTAAGTAAGAACTTTTCCTTTTTGTTTAGAGATGTAAGATTTGATTCTGTAGCTACTTGGCGTTTATAGATGGGAGGTTAGAACATTTGTTTACTTCACTGTTTTTTTAAACGTGAGCAGGAAGGATAAATACTAGGCATAATCACAAATTCTGCTCTCCTAATGCTATGGCAGTGTTGACATGGGATTTGTTCCTAAAAGAAGAAACTAATATTTCTTACATTGAAGACATTACAGCTGCAATGTTACTGTTAACGTAGCCTAAACAATCTCTAGGCAAACTCTTTGATGCCCAGTGGCATAGAAAAAGTGCCAGGTACATATTCTCAAATACAAATTCATGGAAAGAAGTGTTCTGGGATCTCTGCTTTGACAGTGATGCTCAGTGATAAAACAAAATTAACAACAGTAGATTAAGACAGCAGTTGATTAATGAAAAACAGAATATTTTTGATGTGACTTTTCACTGAGCCTACATGTTTTATTATCTCAAGGTGCATGTTTGTTTAGA